AATCCAAGAAAGGCGGTGGCTTTTCTGAAAAAAGTGGCCAGTGTAGACACAGCCGCAGTGTCTGAGGTGTATCACTCAGCACATGTAACAGCAGGGGCAGGACAGCCTGGGTCTCTGTCCCTGTAGCAAACTGACTCCTGTGCTGTGCTCTGCTTAGCGTCTATGGACAGACCTTGCAGCCCATTCGTATTCCCAGCGAGGGAGACGCTGCTCTTAGCTTGGCTGTTTTGATGCAAGTCATGAGACTCAACCCTAACCCGCCATGTCTTTTACTTTCCAGCTGACTACGAGGCAATGAAAGGTGAGGGCATGTCGACTGGTTTCAATTATGTTTTAATTGGAAAAGGGCCACTCAGAACAGCGTTAGTTACAAACTGATGTGTTACCAAACAGGTGATATACAGGACAGCAGGGAATACCCAGAAATAATGAATGGAAATTTTGTGGAATTGTAACATGAATTTTAACTAGTTACCAACTTTCTAATGGCACAAAACCAAACACTTTGTCCTGCCTCTTCCCAAGGCCCCCGCCCCTTCTCTGAGGCTCCACCCCTATTCACTCCCTTTCCCCTCCCTCCGTCACTTGCTCTCTCCAACCTTCACTCATTTTCACTAAGCCAGGGCAGGGGTTGGCAAGTGGGAGAGAAGATGGCTCTGTCTGGGAGTGCAGGCAAGACAAGAAATGAGGGGTTCAGTGGGGACTCCAAGCTGGGGCAGGATGTGAAAGGGGGTGAAGGCTCTGGCTGGGGTGTGGAGTCTGGGATGGGGCAGGAGATGAAAGGTTTGGGATGCAGGAGAAGAGTCCAAGCTGCAGCTGAGGGGTGTGAAGTGTAGTAGCAGGACCAGGGCTGCAGCAGGGCTTTGGGGTGTAGGAGGGGGTGCCAGATCTAGGAAGGAGTGTGGGTGAGGAGGGTTTCAGGACTGGATTTGGGGTGCAGGAGGAGGGGTGTGGGCTCCAGGGGAGAGTTTGTGGGCAGATGTGAGCTCAGGGCTGGAACAGGTGGGGGTGTGGGCTCTGGGAGGGAGTTTGCGTGAGGAGATGGCTCCAACCTGGGGCCAGAGATTGGGGTGCAGGAGAGGGCTTCAGGTGCAGGCTCCAACCTGGTGGTGCTTACCTCAGGTGGCTCCCAGTCAGTGGCTCACCAGGGCTAAGGAAGGCTCCATGTAGCTCCCATAAGCAGCCAGCATGTCTGGCTTCTAGGGGCAGGGCTGGCCAGGTTCCCCTAGGCCTGCAGGCCCTGCCCCTACAGCTCCAATTGGCCTAGACTCATGGGCAATGGGAGCTGCAGAGCCACCCCTCAGGGCAGAGACAGGTGCAGTATATGGAGCTTCTCATTGCCCCTGTCCTAGAGCCATCAGGGTCCCTTTTGGACTGGATGCTCCAGTCAAAAACCAGATGCCCGTCACCTCTAATATTAGTGGTTTTATTTTTCACAGGAACCTTTGGAAATGCTGCCTGCAACACAAACAGACTTCACGTACTGACCTCAGGGTGCGTCTAGACTACAGGGTTTTGTCGACAAAAGTGGACTTTTGTTGACAAAACTATACCTGCGTCCACACTACTGCTGAGTTCTGTCGACATAACGTCAACAGAACTCAGCAGTTTTGTCGACGCTGGTAAACCTCATTTTACGAGGCATAACACCTTCTGTCGACAGAGTTCCGTCGACAGAAGGTTTTATTGCATGTAAACTGTCCTTTGCGTCCACACTACCATGTCGACAAAGCAGCTTGCTTTGTCGACAGAACTCAATGTAGTCTAAACGCTCTTTGTTGACAGAAGCCTGTAGTCTAGACGTACCCTCAGAGAGACTCTGTAGGAAGAACATAAGAACACAGGAGTGGAATAAGAGCGGCCAGGCTGGGTCAGACCAAAGTCCCCTCTAGCCCAGTGTCCTGTCTGCCCACGGTGGCCAATGCGGGTGCCCCAGAGGGAGGGTACAGAACAGGGAATTGTCACATGATCCCTCTTCTGTCTCCCATTCCCTGCTTCTGGAAAATGGATGCTCAGGACACCCTCCCTGCCCAGCCTGGCTAATAGCTCTTTTTTAACCCTGTTAAAGTCCTGGTCTTCCTGTTAAAGTCTGGCAAGGAGTTCCACAGGTTGACTGTGGGTTGTGTGAAGAAAATCTTCCTTTGGCTTGTTTTAAACCTGCTGCCTATTCATTTCATTTGATGACCCCCTAGTTCTTGAGTTATGGAAAGGAATAAATAACTCTCCTTTATTCCCTTTCTCCACACCAGACATGATTTTATAGACCTCTATCACATCCCCCTTAGTCTCCTCTTTTCTAAGCTGAAGTCCCAGTCTTTTTCATCTCTCTTCATATGGCAGCCGTTCCAAACCCCTCATCAATTTTGTTGCCCTTTTCTGAACCTTTTCCAATGCCCAGAGATTTTTTTTTTAGATGAGGTGACCACATCTGTATGCAGTATTCAAGATGTGGGTGTCCCATGGTTTTATATAGCGGCAATAAGGTATTCTCCAACCTATTCTCTATCCCGTTTTTAATTATTCCTAACATTCTGTTTGCTTTTCTGACTGCCACTGCGCAAGGAGTGGATGTTTTCAGAGAGCTATCCACACTGACTTCAAGATCTCACTGTTGAGTGGTTGTAGCTAATTGAGACACCAACATTTTGTGGATACAGCTAGGATTATGTTTTGTGCATTACTTTGCCTTTACTAGCATTGAATTTCATCTGCCATTTTGTTGCCCGGTTACCCAGTTTTGTGAGAACCTTTTGACCGTATGCTTTGGTCTTTTCTATCTTGACCAGTTTAGTATCATCTGCAAATTTTGCCACCTCACTGTTTACCCCTTTCTCCGGATAATTTATAAATAGGGTTGGTCCCAGGACAGACCCCACTCTGAAAACCAACCATTTATTCCTATCCTTTGTTTCTCATCTTGTAACCAGTTATCACTCCCTAAGAAGCCTTCCCTCTTATCCCAGGGCAACTTATTTTACCATTTTTGGCAAAGGAACAAAGGCTTTTTGAAAAAATGTAAGTATACTACTTCCACTGAAT